GGGCTTATGTAATTTAGATACCCTGTTGTGGTGGATTGTTCTAGGCTCTTTTGTGCCTTTTAATCATTATATTAGCTTTGACTCCAATTGCATTACAAAGTGAAATATTAAAGGTTTTAGTTGTGGGAACATCTGTGCTTATATGTGTGCAAACAACTTACTATCACAGTCAGAAGGCGTGTTTTAACAAAAACAGGAAATAAACTGCCCACTGCGCTATGAAGTCTGTTGTTTTTGCTTGTTCTCCCGGGGACGTATGCCAATTTAGGTTTCCGATGCCAACAGGTTGCATATCTGTTTGCCATTTTTATAAGGGAACTTTTTAGATCCATCACTTATTTATACAGAAACACAAACACATCCTAATTTTTCCAGGCATGTTTGCTAATTATCCATTCCAGTTCCCATGTGGAGGACTCTTGCTTTACACAGCAGACGGACTGCAGGAAAATAAGGAAGTATTTTCAGCGTGGCAACGTGACTGGCTACTTAAAGAAGCCATGCAATAAGCTACTTGGAAAATTAAGAAAGCTTTTGTGAAATAAGCAATTTCTTCGATTTTTTCAAACAGTTTGCTTAACATACATACCTAAAAATGTGTTAGTAGATTAGGACTATCCGGAAGAGTAGGTGTAAGTGATAAGAAACAGAACAGATAAACTTCATCAACGAACAACACACAGGATGACTCATGGACTGTTTATTGACTATATTCAGAAGCCCTGAATATATGCTTTATTGGTATTTTATGGCTTTAATTAAGACAATCGTCTCTTATGAAATACTATAAAGTGCAATATTAAAAAAATTAAAAAACCCAAAAGGCATCCATTGTCCTTCAGTTTTATCCTGATGATAAGAGTTGGAGATGCATTGAATTAATTGGCAAGGAATTCTCTGCCTTAATTCACACATGTAGTTTCATTCTGGAAATGATTTTATTCTGGGATTCAGACTTATTTCACTTTTCTATTGTTTGTGTGCGTATAACATGATTTAGGAGAGTTAGTACTTTCTTTTGGCTAGCTGAGTGTTTGACAGACCTGTCAACATCCAAGGCCTTCGCTAATTACATATCCATTATGAAGAAATTGCAACTCAAGAGGAAATTCCCATCTTTTACTGACCTGTTTCCTAAGGCAGGAAGTGTCCTTACTGTTTCTATCAGCCTACTGTGTGGGAAATAAACACACGGTGGGACTCATAACAAGAGGAGCTCCAACCCTTTCTCTGACTTCCCATTCGAAAGGAAAATGTTACTTCCTCTCGGTAATCAGTGCAGGCAAGCACAAACCCAGAGTCTTGGAATGGTCTAACATGGCTTCCTTCCTGTTTCCTTTGTGGCTAAGGAATGAAGATGCAAGGTGCAAAAAGAGCTGTAATCTTGACCTCACCAGCACTCCTGGATAATGATGTGCCCAGTGGTCATCTTGACACTAGCAAAGCCAATTCCCATGGGCACCATACTCAATTCTATTGGCCCTTCCTTGGAAGGCGTTTGTACTATTGTGCTCCCCCGTGGTTATGGATTCTGCCTACCATACAACAGCAGTCAGAATGGTCCCTTCCAGGGAGTGCTGTTGGGGGTAAAGGTTTAAAATTTTCAAATATTTACATTGAGGAGGAACAGTGCCAGCAGCAGGAAGAGAAGGAAGAGCAGAGAAAGGAGGGAGAGGAAGGAGAAATCACCTAAGCAAACAAATAAGGATTCAAGGGCACTTCTGATGAAAATAAATACAGGGTCCCACAGCAGCAACTTCCAACTACATCATGGATAAAGCTCAAAAGGTGTTCAAATGCAGTTGTCTTCTGCCATGAAGGAAAAAAAAAAGGGTGATGTCATCAGACGGAGGATCTTTGGGCGAAGCTGGATGGGGACGGGGATGTTTCTGTCAGAGTTAAACACTGGCCTTGGGTATGGTAGGTTCTCTTTGCTGATATCCCGTGATTTAATATTGATGGTCCTTTGTACTATAGTGACCAGCAGACAGACTCCCCTACTGAAATCAGTCCTTGGTGGGAGCTCACACCTGCCCATGGCACTTTCCCGTCCTTAACTGTTTATTAATTTCCAGGTTCAGCCCATCAGTGTTTTAGGAAAAGTGCTTTGGTTTAGGCCACCCTCACCGTACACTAATGAGCCCATCTGCCTAAACTTTCAGGACCAGTTTGGTCTCTCAAAACCCGGCGAGGTTGTGCATCTGTTTGTCTTTTGTGTCCCCCCCCCCTTTCTTAAGAAAACCCATTGGCAAGATTAAAGACTTTGGTGACATTTAGGTAGTTTGGAGCGAGGTTGATTGTCCATGTGTGAGAAAGGCGTGTGGATGCATGCTGTCTGGGAGGTCTACACGGAAAGCTAGCCTCTTCCAGATGTTGTCAACATGAGCACATCTGAGATCCCCACAGAAGTCCACGGCGTCCTGTGGCCGAGGCATCACAGCCTATGCAGACCCAAAGCGCCCAGTGACATGAAAGAAATATTTCAAAGGTGCAATAATATGTATTGGATCTGAGCTGGCTGTATTTCCTTTATTGCTTTTCTTGTTAGCTATAGATTTCAAAAAAATATGAGGCTGCGAGATTAAAAAAGGACCACAAAGATCCAGAGGCAGGAAACTAAACTCAGACACGGGGGCAAGGCACAGGAACCTTCTTTACTGAGGCCGTCTTAACATGAGATTTTTCAAATCAACCTAGGACATATATAGGCTCTAGTAATTGGGTAAAAAGGTCTGCTATTTGTAGCCACTTTAAACATCACAGATAGGTTTGGATGGCTTTCTTAGGAATTCTATGATTTGTAAATTATTTTCTCCTTTCCCCCTTTGGAATTTCGCAGTTTTCTCCCAACTCTCTCTTAGTGGGAAGGCCTTGCCTGCTAATTGAAGAAAATGTTGTGAAGGAGGCATGGGAACTGAGGGGGATAGCTTTAAAAATTAACAGAGCAGGTGAACATGTATGAGTGGGAATCAGCTTTATAGTGTACTTTTTCTGAAACAGACCTGCTGTCTGTACTTGTTGAAGTTCAATCTTTCTGGGTGCAAGGAAGCATAGAATGTGTGTGTGTGTGTGTGTGTGTTTGTGAGAAAGCCCACTGAAATTCTCTGAAATGCTTACCTTCAAACAAGCATCGGAGACTACCAAATGCTTCAATGCAATTCTTTCAATAGAAAGCTTCAAACTCCATCGTCCCGTCTAGCCAGTAGCTCTAACTGTTACCCCTTCTGTGATCAACTTTCTGCTAAGGTGGTCTGGGTGAGGACAACCTTCTTTCATAGGCCCCATCTTCCTTCGCCATAGATCAGAGAGGATTTCACAAGATGTGGGAAGTGGTGGTGTTGGCCATTTCTCTCTAGCCAGGAGCAGATGTACGCTAATGTTACCAAAACTCCAATCATCGAGGCAGGGGTGCTTTGCTTGAAAGGGCTCTAGACCACCCGACTCATGTCTTCCCTAGACAATAAACGCTAATGGCCGCTGTCAGGTGACACCTGTCAGAGGCCTGGCAAAGCGTTTTCCTTGAATATGAAATGGTCCTTGTCTCTTTTCGTAGCACTCTAAAGTGAGACATCAGACATGCTGCATCATCTGCCGAGCTGATACACAAGCATATTCCTGAGTCTCTGGACACACATTCTGTTCTGCTGACGCTGCCTGGCATGTTTAGGTCTTGGGAAGTGAAATCACACCATTAAATCTCATGCTTCATTCCATCGCTGGGTCTGGAGGGCAAGTAGATACGTCATGGGCACTGTTAAACGCAAATCTAGGGGTTTCTATTTTAGAATCCTTAGTCTGGACCAAGATTCTCTCCTTTTCCAGGGTTGCCTAGGGCTATAGGAGAGGTGACAGCAAGCAAGCCTGGCTTGGTTTTCTGTAAGTAAATGTACACATTTGGGTACATTTAGGATGAATGATAAATTTTGGTTGAACTTTTGGTAGTATTTCATACCCTGCTTCAGAGAAGAAAAGAGACAGCCATCTAAAAATTTCCCCCATGCCTCCTGTGGCATTATTTTTGCCTCTCTGTAAGCATTAGGGACACAGCTGACCATTTCCTATATTCTGGGGATTGGCATGTTCAAATGGCATATGAATGTTTGATATGTGCATAGAATAAAAAAAGCCTTCAGTTCATAAATGTTCACTTTGGTGGGTGGGCATGACTTTCTTTCCCCCTGGCTGTCAAATTTGATGCCCTTTCCCTTAGAACTGATTGGACCCAAAGGCTGATGATGTAATTGATACTGTATGTCTGCAAGAGCCGGTGTACTCGCACACACTGACATGTGAGAAAGAAGTTAGAGATGTGCTGAGACCAGCACGTGGGAAGTAGTTTTACAATAATGTGAATGCTTCCAGGTCAACATAAGGCCACACACCACACATTCCAAAATGAAGGCAGCAAGAGCCAGCAGTAGATGGTGCCCGAGCACCATTCAGTGAGGGGGAGCACTATGGAACTGGGGACTGGTTTTGGGAAGGTTGTCTTCTCAAAGTAACTTTGCACTGAAGACCCTGGCACTCCCCGTGAAGCAGAATTCCCAGCCCTTAGGCACCGGAGCGCTTCCTGGCTTCTTGTTGAGGAGGTAAGGGGAGCGAGTGTGGGAACAGTAATGGTGGGACCAGACATTCTGTGGCCTTTCTTATTTTGCAGTATATTTGTAGTTGGCTTAAAAAAAACATCCATTTTAAACGATAAACCAACCAGAAATCAGAATCTGTCCAACTACAATCATGCAGCCAGGACAACAATCTGAGCTTTTAAAACTGAAAACTCACTTTTGCATTTGTCTTCCTAAGGTAGCAGCAAAAATGCTAGCTTCAAACAAAGCCCAACCCTTGATGAATGGGATGCGGCCTTCTCTCTCACCATTGAAAACTGCCAGCACTCAGGAGGCAGAGGGAGGCAAATCTCTGTGAGTTTGCAGCCAGCCTGGTCTACAGAGTGAGTTCCAGCACAGCCAAGGCTCTTTTACACACACACACACACACACACACACACACACACACACAGAGAGAGAGAGAGAGAGAGAGAGAGAGAGAGAGAGAGAGAGAGAGGAAGGAAAGAAAAAAATCAAACCAAACCAAAAACCCAACTTTGCATTGTTGGAGAGACTTGAAAACCAGTTTCTTAGTTGGCAGACCTTTTGATTTCTTGTGTTCTCAGGGGACCTCCACTTTGCAGCGCCATGTGCTTAAGTGTAAAGAGGTCTTGGGCTTGGCTCTGCCTGCTGTTGTCATGTTCTGTAAATGAATGGAGGTTTTGTGGATGGAAGGGTGAACTTGATCCGGGTTATTGGGTCACCTGACCTTTTTATTCAGTCTGAGTTCTTCGCCCCACCTCCCTATATTAAGTGGTGTTCAGAACACAGTCAGACAAGGCGCAGTGACAGATCAGAACCTGAATGCCTGGCGACACTCTCCTCGTATGGAATGTGCCAATTTACACGGAGGTGGCCACCCTCTGTTAAACTTTTCAAAGGATTTTAAGGAGAAAGCATGGTTTTGGAAAAATGAAAAACTGCATGTTTAGTTTTCAGTTTAGTTTGTCCTGTGGCTGTCAAGCGGTTTCATTTCCTACTGCAATAAACCGGAGAAATCACACAAGGTGTTGGACAGAGTGTGTGTGTGGGGGGAGTGAATGAGGTGATCCTATGTGAAGATGAGCAAAATCAGTAAACCACAATATCAGAGTGGCGGCTTCAAAGAAGTGTGAAGAAACCATGGACTGCAGGCTCGGAACACTAGAGTTCCGGATGGGCTCACGATGGAGAAAGGGGCGGTGCGTAGGTCTACACCAAATTCATGACTCAGGACTTGGAAACTGTTCTGGGGTGGGAGGGGCACCCAACGGATCAGACAAGCCTGAACTGTCTCAATCAAGCCCGGTTAGTCGTTAGTTTAGATCTACTGGGAATGATTCTTAGATGTGGCAGCCCTTTGTGACCACACTGAGAAATGCTCTGAGGAGCGATGATGCCCTTATGTCCCCATCAGTGGCCACTCCCACTGAGCACCTCTGCTGGACGGTGTTTCTCGGCACACATCTCAGCTCTCTTGGCAGGACTTTGGACTGTGTGTGAGCCCTTGGCATTAAAGCATGTCCGACGGCAACCACGGCTAAGATCGCCCTTGTTCTTTTGATGATGATGGGCCATGCACTGGAACAAGACAGGCTCGGTTTATAGAAGTTTGCTGTCCTAGAAAAGCACTAATTTGATTTTTCATTCATATCATCTACTTGCATGCTGGGGCAATACAAGAAAAAAGCAAAACGAAACAACCTAACCTCCGTCAGTTTCCCTTCGGTTGCCACCCGGTCTGGGTCTGAGTTTCCCCTCTGTCTTTAGGAATTCCGTGGGTCTCAGTCAGAGCATCCCAGTGGGATCGGTTCCATTTGGCTTGTGACAGTATTTTAGAGGTTCTAACAGGGCTCCAACAGACTCTCTCTTCTGAGCTCTCCTCTCTGCAAACTATTTCACTCAACTCAGTGTGTCCAAAGCAGGCTGCAGATCACAGCATAGAGCCCTCGGCCTACCGATTCTGTTAATTTACCTTTTGCACTCCAGAGGCAAAGCCACAAACTGAAGGTTGAAGGTTGATGCCCCTCTTCAAATAGGAACTATAATTATGCTAGAGCTATCCCTGAAAAGATGCATTTGCACTTAAATATATATATATATGTTTATATATATATAATTTCTCTTTCTGTGTACAGTTATGTATTAATCTATAGGTCTAGGAGGAGAGGTATAGTACAGAAACAGGCAGGATTTGTACGCTCATGTGTATATATTTATAGTATTTATATTCATGTGTATGCGTAGCCTCTGTCCTCTTTCGCGTCATCCCAATGAATGTACCTCCGACCAGCGAGGAGTACCTGTCAGTGGTGATGGAGAGACGGTTCTCTTTGTCTCTTCCACGGAGTCGTTTCCGCAGGCAAGGGTGAGGTGCCCGTGAAGCGAATGGCCCCATGAGAATCCATCCTTCCTCCACCCTCCACGGGGGGACGCTTGCCTCCCAGGGCTGTGCACAGGCTGCCCCTTCTCAAGGCTTCTGCAAGGAGCCCGGAGGCCAGAGCCGGGAGGGACCATCCATGCTGTGGGTTGAAGATATGGCTTTTCCCCTAGATGGAGACAGGGCACTCGAGCACTTTGTTCTCCAGGAGGACGCTGACCACCAGGAACACGAAGTAGAGGCCAAACATGATGAAGCCCAGAATTTTGTTCATCCGCCACTTGCAGAGGGCGATGGAGAGGATGACGAACAGCAACATGATGAAGAGGAGGACGATGGCGCAGAAGAGGCCGTTGCTGCTCACGGCCACCGGCGTGAATCTGTGGATGATGGCGTAGAGGAGCCAGGGCAGGGGGAGCCTGAGAGGAAGAGAAGCGGGCCGGAGAGGAAGGAGAGAGAGCAGTCAGGTGTGGCGAGGAAGTCCTAGAAGATGACTATCTAGGGCCTGGGGAGGAGGACCCTTTAGGGTCACGAGGACAAACGGCTGGGCCAGGAGACTCT